CTTGAACCACGAGACGGGCATTTTTTGTAGCGCAGTGACTCTAAAAGCATTTTGAACCATGTGAAGGGTAAGCTTCTCTTTTTGAATTGCCCTGGGTTCAGTTTCACACAGTAACTTTACAAAAATTTTGACTCGCAAGATTGGAGTTATGCGCGGAAAAGGAGAATCTTTTGAGGTGTTTGTATAATTATGGACCGCACATTAGTTTTGTCACAGAACTGCTCCAGATAAATTCACGCAAGTATTTTAGAGCCCAGTAGTAAGGCTTTAAGTTGCGATATCCGAACCTTGCATATAAAGAGTCACTCCATTCGCGTGCAAAGGTATCTAATGTTCTTCAAGAAGGTGGGCATTCGGGGTCCACGTAACCAATGTCTCCCGAGACTCTAAGGTCCGAGAGGTTGGCCCAAATAACGCCTGGACCTTATGAGCTAAGCTGCCGACTATTATAACACAATGACCTGAAAATTTCCTAGAGCGTTAACAAATCTTGCAGAAAATCGACTGTGGAAGTACCACTATTGAGATGCTGCAGAATCTTCTAGCAATTCATTCGCTTACGTGTATACCGAAGAGATATTCGTCGCTCTTTTTCGAGCAGAGGTGCAAGAATTGATGTGTTCATTTTATCTATTTTTTTTTTATGGTAACAGTTAATAGGCACCATGTGATGGCAAAAATGAAAGGAATTTTAGCAAAAGATTCTGCATTGTACGCTTCGTAAATCAAATTAAATATAGATATAAGAAACTAACTACGAAGATGTATACAAGTGATGATTAAGCGCATGAAACAATAGCTGCTCAAAGTCTAATTCCAAAATCTACTCTGATACATAAGGGTAACGAAGTGGTAAAACAAATTCCAGCAAACACAAAAATATATGAAGGTGGTGACAATAAGACAGTGATAAAAAAGTTGGCTCACATAGCCGCGGGAAGGATAGAATACGGAAAAACGGATGGTGGCGATGATCTCATAAATTGACTAATTGGCAAACCCGGCTCCGCCCGGGCCTGTCAATGATATATTTGTAATCAGCATGCTCGATTACCTCCCCTGTGCCAACTCCCAGCCCTGTAGCTCAAATATTGCAAAAAATAGCTAAAATCGATATCGATCGATACGAAAAGCAACCTATGACACGCTCCCCGCCGCGAAGTGTATGTGTGCCAAGTTTAGCCCCGATCGGTTCAGAAATAGAATTTTCTATTCGGAACATACGTACATACAGACATACATACATACATACAAACAGACATTCAGCTTTATATATAAGATCCAGAAAATCGTGATGGAAATAATCAAACATTCTTTATGTGAGCGCCAGCCTGTTTCAGTTTTAGTTTGGCGTGGAATGTCTATCCTCTCTGAAATTTTACTGCGCTGATTTGAGACGAGACGCATTTGTATAAGACGAGGTATCATAGGGTGCGCCAACATTATTTGCGCCAAATTATTCAAACTAATGCCACAACAAACCGCGGAAAATTGATCTGATTTTATGTCACAGAATGCCGTAAGCATGCTCTAAAAGAAGGACTATCAAGATCCCAACGTTTTCATTTAGAGAAGCAAGAACTGCGAAAAACAGTGTTCGTTACAGAAAAACGCATGCTGACACAACGTCAAGTAAAAGTTTTTGTTCTAAACTACCTCAAAGATTCCAACATTCAATCACAAAGTCAAAGATATGCTTCATTTTACTGCGAATCTATACGCGGTGACTAAAAAAACACATGCTCAGCAAATTTGTAAGCGTCCACCCGCGTGCAGCAAGCGACGAAATTAGAGAAATATCATGAACTTCCACTAAAAGGATAACAGGTAGATTTGCATCTTCCAATTTGGCTACGGTGGTATAGAACCAAGAAAACCAAATCAAGCTTGGTCTCTGTGGCGGCTCGGTGGGCTCTAAGCACCTAGGTTTAACCCGAATAGCCAAGGCTCGCCCGTTTACACACACGACGCAACCTACTCTACTAACTTGCCCTAGCGCGCGTCTAGACAAAAAAATAAATATTATGTTTTTATCCTTATGACATCAAAGAAACATTAAAGCAGCTACAAAAACCTATAACTAGACAACAAATAAAATTACCAAAAAACTGATCTAAACTACTAAACGACAATAGAGCTCAACACGGGACGAGCTGCAAAATCCCGTGCTACCGATAAAGCGCGTATACTACAAACTCTAAAATCAAAATGCTCCCGAGGCTTCACCTATACAGATCCGCCACGCGTCGCCGGATACCAGGCGTGACAGCCTCCCCGCTCCCAAAGTTCACAAGATCCTAATATCTCGAGGCCCAAAAATCTCAAAGGTGGCTCGTTCAAAAACAATCCCGAAACCTTGAATTTCAATCCACAATGGATTTCGATATGCTCAACCGCGCTGCAAAACTAACATCCAAAACGGGGACTAAATGCCAGGCACGAGCACAAGGAACAAAGATGAGAAAAGATATCGATCGAAAAGTGCAGACAGACGCTGCAATAAGGCGCCGCCGCATATATAGCCATTTTGCTGGCAACGCGCCAAGGCAAGGAGAGGTCCGGAGGCGATTGCGGCACGCGTGGGGAAGTACCGTAATCGTCGCCGGATAGCGCAGCAGCAACCAGTGCTCCCGGCCCCCTACTTCTAGAAGCGCTCGTATCGCTGAGCCGCGGCAGTGTCTGCTGAGAGAGTTTCATTCGTATGACGCTTGATAATGCACGCGCAAATAATTGTGGCGCACCCTGAACATTTTTGAGAAAACGAACTTTCGTTGGTGCATGCATAGCAAGCATATTCGCTGCTAAACTTAATGTGACGAGGTAATAAAAACTTACAGCGCTTTTGAGGTGTATATTATAACTTCGCAGCTCCAGGAAAAATACTTTCGATAAAAGAAATAGCGCACTTCGCTTCCTTAGAATCGTCTGAGGATAAAAAAAAGGTGGACAAGGTCTGAAAGAAAGCTGCTTTTGAGACACCAACTACCTATGAGGATTTTCTCATACAACGGCCTACACTGACAGAACACCTTTTTGTCGCAAGATAGTATTTATGATAGTTAATAATATCTTGCGTCTTAGTATTTATGATAAAAGATTTCTTTAAAATTGCCTCTTTTTTGGTTTCTCGCCAGCCTGATTCTCTTGCACTCGATAGCTAGTAAAGCCAATAAAGTTAAGGTCAGCTGCAGTACAGCATTTCAGGAGGTCCTTTGGAAGCACAAGCAAGCAAAGTCAGCGGGAAAAGTCGAAAAGACGAAGTCTTCGGAGGCATCGAAGAACCTTCTGCGAATATCACGCTACACTCGCAACACCAATGGACAAAGGCAGGACTCCGAATTCTTCCCAACAGGAATTCGAAAAAGCTTTCTTGTCAACGTCTCTATTCATCAAAGGCCGTACAATATCTGTGGTTCGGACTAGAGCTACTACCACCAACTCCTTTTGATGTTAAGATGTGCTCACCGCGACCATGAAGATATTCAGAAAGTAACTCTATATGATACCAGCACAATGACAGCATGTAAACAATCAGTTATTACCAAAATTCAGCAGCTGGTTATCTTTGTATGTCTTCATTGAGAATTTTCAACATGCTATGATCATTTACCGAAAACAATCATTTCTCATAATCTCAGCTGTTAGAGCTGATTTAAGTATCCCTGTTTGCGCATGTATGACATCCACCCGCAGTGAGTATGCAGTGAACCGTAACCTACACATTACTTCATCAATAAAACACTAAAATTCCCTTATTATGAGGAAATAGTAATGGAAAAAACATGTTTGCTGAGAAAACTGACAGCAGCTCGCGAGCTACAGCATTAAAACCCTAGAAAAGGCACTGTAGCGATTTTTAGTGGGTTTTTCTTTTATGTCAGACACAATAAGCCATAAATCCAGCTGCATCAATTTTATCCCAAAATGAATTGCACATAATTGAGAGAATTTAGAGTGCCATAATATTCTGTTCAATGTTACGCCTGACTGACCTACTATCATCCTATGATTTTTTATAAACTTTTTCCTGGCTTAGATTCCACATCAATTGTTTCATTCAGACCGGCGAGTTCTCTTTTGACTCGGTATCCACGCGATCCTCCAAATGTTTTGCATGAACATTTTCCCACCAGTCGCAAAGATGGACTGTAGAGCTAAACATTCTCGAGCATGTGAGCTGATGTTGTTAGATCCGCTGTTGGTAGTTCCGGTGTTCTATTCTAACATAATCTCACGGTCTCCTTTGCGAGAGCGAAGGTTGAAACATGGAGAAATTCCATCCACTATATGCTTCTTCATCAACGGCTGCTATACGAAAATTTTAGCGCTTCATGATGTTTCATGAGATTTTCTGCTGTACGGCTTTCTGCATACTTTCTTCCACAAAAAAGTTTTACGATCTCTCTAATTTTATTTCTGACTCCAACCTATCTGACATAGGGTTTTGTGCACAGGGTAAAAAAGGCATGCCAAAATACCTCTAGAATCACAAAGGTATGATCAAAACTTATTTAACAAACTCGCTACTTCGTTGAAACCAGCAGTCTCCAAAATCCGGTATAAGGCGAAAATTTGCTTATGTATCCATGCGAAGAAAATTCGTATTTTGTTTCCAACACAATAATGTGGAGACTGTAAGAAGTTCCTTGTATATACACTTTATTATGTGCATTTGGTCTAGTGCACTAAAACGAGCATTATTTCTTGAGTAGACGAACTCACACGAGAGAGTTAATGAAGAAGCTGAAACATGGCTATGTCATCTTAGAATTCAGCCATTCAGCCAACCACTCATATGCTGCGATCAAATGTTTTAAGTGAAGTCTGGTTCTATTCGCACGAAACCCACAGATATTCATAATTTTTGGATTTTCTCGTGACCCCACGTCCACATTCAAATCCTGTATAGACTCGTGTTACCCATAGATTGGTTTCTGCAATGCTTGAAGCTTGAAGCATCGTCATCACCATCTCATTTTTACGCTATTAGTTTCCAGGTGATGTCCTTGGAGTTGGTTATATATATCTTATACGTTTTCGCAAATACACTCATCGTGCTTTTGAATGTCCTCGTCATATGGGCAGCAGTGAAGAGTCGGGAATTAATGCGTAACTTCACCTTACACATCGTCATCACCGCTATCATCTTGGACATTGCAGTATACATGATTATTATTTTCCACGACGTGCCAAGTTTTGCCTCAAACGAGGACTTCACTAGTAAGCGTTTGTAGTGGTACTTTTGAGATACTCATCTAGTCTTTCCCTTTATTCTAGCTGCAGTGACAACTCACATTTTCGTGCTTATTCTATGCTTGCAATGGTTCGCACAACTGCTCTTCTTGCCACTTCTATCCATCATCCATTTATTTGCAATCTTCTCACCTTTAAAATTCCGAAATTTATCGCACAAACATTTTACTTGTGCCAACATTGCAATCGTCACTATTGCACTGCTGCTTACCGGTGAAAAATTTTTATATCTGTTTTTTACATTTTTCATAACTTTTCATAATGTTCTATTTTTCATTCTTCATACTTGCTTTGTAGGTCGCACAAATTAGATGAGTTGGAGCTTTCAAAAAACGTTTTTGAAATCAGTGTGTCTGGGCAAATTCTGGTAATCTAGTAAATTCACGTACCTAAACTTATTATCTGCAACGCTGAATCCGAAACTTCACTTCTGAAAGCGCGGGAGCGAAGAACATGCGTTTCCCAAAGCCTTACAGTTTGAATTTGCACGAGAGATACAGTTCCTGCCAATGCTAAGGCACAGAGTTGTTGAGAAACCTTGCAGTCTGCCCCCAATCCTAATCACGGTACTGCGTTACGCTTACGGCCTGCTCTCTCTTCGATCTCTCCGACAGTGCGCGTATGCAGTGCAAAGTAGTGGCTACGTACTCTGCCGCAGAGCAGGAAATTCATAGGTGAGCGCGTAGTTCCCTCAGCTTCTCGACCATATCTCTTGCTTCTGGTCCAATTTTATGGCCTCGCACTGCGCGATGGCGTGTCTGAGCATCGCAAAGCCTCAGCCTTGTCCATACACTGTTTTTGTTATCCAGCCATGAAAACTGAGCTATTGTGCCCTTTCTCTTTTTGACGACGATAAAAAAAGAAGTGTAGAGAGGACCAAAAGTGCGTACTTTTACCCAGAATACCAAGGTGTAATTTGCAGGTAGGGTCTAACTCTTAGCGTTTTTACCATGAGACCACGGCTTCGCATGCCATTCGCACCTTTGTGCTGCTTTTGAGGCTCTTGCTTGAGGCCCACGCTTAGTGCTCTTGTCAACGCCTCAAGACAGCAAATGAGCTGCGTTGCGGTGGTGCCTACTAGGAATCTCATGACATAAACTGCAACTAATTTGGGTTATTGCTCAGGTTATTTGGTCTTGAACATTATTTGCACACTCGTTGTACACTCATATTCAGACTCCATGCAGAGCCAGAGTAGTATGAAGGATTTTCAAGCTCTTAGATTTTGCTCAAAAGCATTTGAAATGTATGTTGTTGATCAACAGAAAAACTTTTGTGAAGGTGTTGATATATGCTGAACCAACATCAGTCTAGGTGAATTTTGCAACCCCCACGGCTTGTTCCATGCGATGAACAGACACTTGCATTTGGAACTTAGTCATCAAACCAAAATTTTATGTAACACGAACAACAAAGATGACAACATTTTCAAATTTCATTATTACAGCACCCTTATTCACCAAGTACTGCGGATTTACTTATCTAATACCAGGACACTATTGGTACTTCGACTTTGCCAAGCCATACACCTATCTCTACCAGCATTTCAATGAGATTCTACAAGTCCGGATTTGGCCTACATATGCAGGTTTCCCATGCCAAAATACATCATTGCAGATTACGTGTGGCGTTTTTGTGCTCGTCTCCGACATGTGCATTATCTGCAGAATTCTTCGAGTGCGTTCGCTTTCTTTGCGCAAGCACTGCAAGAGCGGAGCTGAAAAGGTTTGTGGATCTGTCGGGCAAGGCTCAACCTACTCCTCCATTTTGTTTCAGAAATGGAAAGTTGGAAGAGAGGGGCGAATTGCAATAAACTTCCTTCTTATGAGCAGCTGCTTTCTAGTCATGAGCGTCTTCTACAATGTTAATTTGGGGTGAGTAAATCGATGGATTTTGAAAAGAATTAAGCTGCGTTAGTCTTTGACTTTAACATGAGCTTTCCAACAGATTTCACCTTTTGATAGATACCATGTTTGTCGTAGTTTGCAAGCGATAGCTTGTAATCATGCAAAAAAAGCTTCATTTTTAGATACGGATTCTGGCAGACCTTGCTCTTAAAGATTTCTACACTGCTTAACTTATCAAAGTGGGCGATTTACGTGCTGGCATATACTTCGATATCCAAAGTTATTAAAGAAATGCTCGGATTCCAAACAAGTCAGCACAATCCACCTACGACAACGACTGTCACAAAATTCTAGTGTTCCACAATTCTTTGTTATGTTTGTTCCCTTTGATCAAATTATTTTTGTAACTCCCGACCTGTAGCGAGTTTACAAATCTTAGAAAAAACAGTAGAGCCTGTGAACTGGCTTATAAACTCAAATAAAGTATTTGAAATGGCTTATGCAGCATAAGTACGAGGTTTTACGGTGGAAGTGAAAAGAAAATTGATTAGTTCGATCTGAGAAAGTGCTTGATAAGTCACTTTGTCTTATGCTGCATAACAATCGGTTAAGCATCGTTCATACCGCGCACGATTTCAGTTGCCGCGCGATTCAGCAGTGCTACATGGCTCATAATCATCGTAGGCGCTTTCCGATGAGCAAGATTCGACACGCTTGCGTGACGCTTTGTTTTATCAGATGATATTTCATCTATTAGGTTGTCCGGAAATTAATACAGGGTTTGAATTTCAACCGCAATAAGTCATACACTCCTCATTTCTAAACAGGTGGCAGAGTACCATTCGATAGAGCAAAGCAAGCCTACAAAATGGCTCTCTCGTTCTAGCAGAAGCCTCAATCCAACACGAGTTTTTAGCCAAAAAACTAAAAAGAATTAACCGCCCGAAAAACTAAGAAAGATCATAACTCAATTCATAAAAGTCCTACAAAAATTCTAACTTGTTCATGCAAACACTATCCACATAAGACATCTATACACGCCGTTGCCGTTTTTTTCCCTGTTAGAAATCAAGAAAACGGAAATTTTCGTGCATTTGCTAAAGTGATGCTGTGCCATCCTCACATAAGTAGTTGTATACTACAAAGCTGTTGAAGTACAAACGTAAATTTTCAGCTCTCTACAAGCTTTAGTTCTCGAGAAATCTGAATTTTAGCTCGGACCACCTGACCGGGGAAAGCTATATTCGATATTTCTCGAGAACCAAAGCCTGTGAGGAGCTGCTTACGTTTGTACTTCTACAGGTTTGTAGAATGAGGACGGCACAGCGTCACTTTGGCGAATGTACGAAATTTTCCGTTTTCTCGATTTCTAACAGAGAAAAAAATATGGCAACGGCGTATATAGATGTCTTAAGTGAATAGTGTTTTCGTGAGCAAGTTGGAATTTTTGTAGGATTTTTTTCAAGTAAGTTACAATTTTTCTCGATTTTTTAAGCAGTTGGATCTTCTTAGTTTTTGGCTCGAAACTCGAGGTGAACGAAAGCGCGTGTAAAAGCAAGATAGCCTTCTTGTAGAGCTTGCTTTGCTCTATCGGATGGTATTTTGCATCCTATTTAGAAATGAGAAGCTATGACTTATTGCGGTTGAAAATCAAAACCTGCATTAATTTCCTGACAACCTAATACTATTTTCATGCACTCTGCTGCAATAGGACGTGTTGTGACATTATTTTCCACAACTCAGTACAGGAGTCGCACTTGTGGCTCGGTGTCACCTATGCATGGAGCCAAGAGGCAAGCGCCACGTAAATGGATGTTGCTTGATATACTAGACGTGTCTGCAATCCGGGCCTTGAGCAAGATACGAGCACACCTTAAAGGCAGTGTCCAAGCAAAAATTCGATTACGAGATTACCTAGGCCTATTCGCTATGCTGGCTCCAAAGATCAACAGTGGAGAGCGCGAAAACGGCGAAAAAGGCTCTAACGGAGGAAGGAAGTTGCAGGTGGGCGGGCTGTTCACATAGTGGCGTCACTCTCCCAGCTTCAGGAGAGATGTTTTTGCTTCTGCTAGTCGCCCTAACACCACCACCAGCCAACTGCGAAACGCATGACATAAAATCGGGACCGAGAAGATCGCTCCTAAATCCGGGAGAGTGACGTCACTTGTGAACGGCCCCGCCCACTTGCGATTTCCCTCCTGCGTTAGAGCCTTTTTTGGTCGTTTTCGCGCTCTTCAATGTTGTTTAACGGATTCAGCATGGCGAGTAGGCCCGAGTAAGCACAAAATCTCATAATCGACTTTTTGCTTGGGCACTGCCTCTAAACTCGGGTAGTTAAACTTTTTATTACAGAACCAATAACAAAAACACGTTTGTAACAATTAGCCAAATGATATTCCATGCTCGGCTTTGAATGAAACTTGGCATGGTGATGAATCGCCACGTGCACTTACTAAGCTTTGGCCAATTGATCAAGGCTTAACCACTGCTTATAAGGATTTTTGATCAATAGATGCCTCCGAATGAGCTTTAAGCTACAAAAGGTGAGATATAGTAAGAGAAAGCATAAACAAATGAACGGGGGGTAAGGGTTCCCATCCAGGTAGTATCTGCTTCATAGCGATGCCCTGTGGATCGTCTTTTTCCTTGTTTTTCCATCTTTTAGAGGACTTACTGTCCTATTATTGTAGCATAATGAATGGCAGCACTTTGCTGTATAAGCTGAGATCGGTATATTGTGTGATTCCGAAGGGGATCCTCAAAGGATCACGGCTCACTTCCAAAGTCATTTATCTTTGCAAAGCCTCAATGAAAAAGTCGTAAAGTTGTGCTGAAGACTTAGTATGTCAGTGCTAAACATGTTTTCAGTAGCATAAATGAAATGCGGAAGCTTTGATTTTTTCATTAAACCCCAACTCGCAAGCAGGGGTTCACCGAAGATTTCGTCAACTAAAGTTTTCACTTACTACTTCCACAAAAATGCTTAGCACTGTCATAGATCAACAGCATAACTTCAAAAAGTTTTGGTTAAGTTTTCGCAAAAATGTTATCAATGAGCCGTAATTACAATGTTAGAGCAGTAAGGCCACCAAGAAATGCGCAAACAAGGAAGAATTCAAATACCCACAGCGCCGAGCTTTGAATCGGATACCAGCCGAATGGGAGCCCTTAAAACCCAGGCGCCGGGCCGCTGCGGCTTGGCAGATTCTCGACTTCAAAATTTTTTTGTTTACCTGGGGTAATTCGAAGCGCTGATTCCGGAGATCCACCTTGAAGAACGCAAAAAGGCAAAAACCTTTCTCAAAGTTTCCAGTTTCGAATTTGGACGAGTGGAGCAGGTCCCACCATGGCTAAAGAGGCGATCGTTGGGGGACCCTGGCAGTTGTAACATTGCGGCATGCCTTCTCTGACGGGTCAGGGAGAATCGGAAGCTCGTCCGCGCGTATTAAAATGGCTTGCGCGTAACGGAATTTTCTAGGCAAGGGCAGCATGCTGTGAGCTCGGACCTCCTCTGTTCTCATGTTTGGGGAGCAAACAACTGTCCATGTCAAAACGGGATGTTCATTTTTGGCAAGCTGCTGCTTTAAGGGTTCCCATTCAGCGGTATTATCACCCCCTTACCGTACAGGTAAGGGGGTGATGATACCTGTCGTAAGGGGGTGGTACATACCGCCCCAGATGCTAACATCTGCAAACTCATACATAAACAATACGTGCTACTGAATTAAGCTATGCTGTACAACTGGCAAAGTATTACTCAACCATAAGAACGCATATAATCTGCCATTAGGGATAAAGAAGAATAATACAAATAGCTTACGACCTTATACTACCGTATATGATTCATCTAATTCTTCGACGGTCAAATCAGTGGACTGACCGATAGCGAAGTGGATGAAGCAGATCAGTGAACATTCGCTTTGCTGCCAGTGTTCACTGATTTGACCAACAGCGAAGTAGATCAAGTGCAACAAGCGGATTGAAGGCAGTGTCCGAGAGATTTTTTGCTTTACCTGGGCTCGCTATGCTAAATCCAAAAAACCAAATAGAGGAGCATGAAAATGGCGAAAAAAGCTCTAATGTAGTAGGGAGATAGTAGTTGGGCGGGACCACTTTGTGGAATCACACTCCCAACTTCGGGAGCGATCCTTTGTTTCCGGCTCCAAGTCGCGCGTCCATGATTGGCCGGTGGCGATGCTAGGGCGACTAGCGGAAGCGAGAAGATTGCCACGGAAGTGTGACTTTGAAGAGAGGAAGGCCCTGCCCACCTCTGATTTGCCATCTGTGTTGAAGCCCTTTTTCGCCCTTTCGCGCTTCCAGTGTGGATTTTCGGATTTAGCATTGCGAATGGCCCATGTGACCAAAAAAATCTTGAAATCGACTTTTCCGGACACTGCCTTTATTTGTAGCGTGAATATCTGCCCTCCCCTTCTTAATCTCCTCCTCGCCGTGCCTTGGCAATGCAGAATTTACACGCGACGTTCGCTCAAATTAACTCGCTGCTATAGTTAAGATAGGGTTGGGGAAGAGGCAAGGGAGTTCCGCATTAGTTGAACCAAAAATAGAAGTCGCGGATTTGGCTAAATCTTCGTCTAAAGGGTTAATTTGCACGCTGATTACGAATATCGTGATTGTTTCGCAGGTAGCGCCATTTTGTGAAGTTACCGCAGAATTACGGTAGGGGGTCATGACCACGGATTTGCCCCAAACTTCGTCTAGGGGGGGGGGTGCTGAGGCAGGACTTGATCCTCGGCCCACCTCCATTGATCTACAATACGCGCCAAAAATCGACTATTTTAGAGGCGCCGAGCGGGCACGCAGTGAAATCGACTCAAGTGTTTCCATTTCGTCATTTGGTTTGTGTATCTCGATTCTTTATATTTTTGCATATCTCTGATTTTTTTTATTTTGTTCACATATCTCTGATAACCATGTACTGTTTATCCGGTATTCTCATTGTAGCTCCTCGTTGTTGTCAGCCATAACCATGATTTGGTGCTCATTTGATATGGTTCAGTTTACGCACTTATGATACTCACTTGTTTAACCGTTGCCATGTTATTTGTTCAATTTGTCAATAATAAACGTTTCAATTACCCAAGTTTTATTAGGTCATTCGGAAAGTTTTTTCGCTTTTTGCGCCTTTGATGTTGGTGCCATGTTTTAAGAGAGTGCCAGAGGGCTGATAGGGGTTGCTACATATAATTGTAGAGGAAGTCTTCCATTTTCTGAGGATCTTACCGAAATTGCAGAAAACGCTTTGTAGGGAAGTTACGTGGCTATAAATTCGACATATGAAAACGCGATTTTCGAATAATTGCACTTTTTGAGATCAGTATTGCGTGTAAGGCAGT